TTATTATTATTATTATTATTATTATTTGTGTCTTAGGCACATTTTTGATTCTTATATTCCAGACTTTTCTGAGATTCCTCCAATCCTCAGAAGAATTTTAGAAGGCACAGGAAACTGTAGTATGGAGGGAGCAGAACATTCACTTGCCAAGCACTTATTCTGCTAGAATCTGCATTGGACACAATTCATTGAGAAAACGTCTATTTTTTAAAAAAAAGTAAAACAGAAGCACAAAATTAGAACCTGAGGTCCTTTACTATATTAGTTTATATATATGATGAAATAGGTCACATTACATTAACAATTGTGCAGATTAGATTGTTTAGATTCCAGTCAAACTGCAGGAGCATTTACTTTCTATCACATATGACAGAATGATATCTTATGATTTGCTGCCCAGTTCTTTTTTCTAGGATATTCTGACAGTTTATTTTGATTATTAAACTGGCATAGTGACCTTTTTTTATACACACCATAGTGAAAAACAATTAGCAATCCTTAATTTTATAATTGGCCTTTTAAGAAAATACGAATGGAGTCTCTTTAAACAGAATCTGGAGTAAGGATTGTGTGGCTTTGTTTCCTTTCTGTGTTGTGTGTTTGAGTTGTTCTCTCCTAATAGTATATAATATGTGGTGATAGAGAAATTCTTTCCTTTGAAATTCTTAAAAAATTAAGCCATATTATTAACAGAATATAGCTTACTTTTCATCATAGCAAGGAACCAAGGTTATGTAATAGTCAACTAACCAGAAATTGTCAATTCTTGTTTTCTTGAGTGAATATTAATAATAATAACAATAATAAAAAAATGAATATAGTTGAACTTCTTGTAATCTTCAACAAATACTTTGTTTTCTCAGGATGCATGTAAATTACAACCTCAAACATTTTTGATGTTATATATACTTTTTTCTCATATAGTTTATTGTTACTGTTCCATAGAAACTGAATAATTTTAACAACCTCTGTGTAGTTTCCTGGGGGAAAAAAAGCTCTGTTAATTAATTAACTGGGTTTTCAAGTGTCACTGTTTTGAGTGAAAGAAGGTTAAATCTATCTTTAACTTTCCCAGAGGTAACAATGTTTAACTTTGGACTAGACCAAGGTTCATTTTAAAGGATTTTTAATGTAACTAACTTTGCTGATTCATGTCTCCTTCCACAATTCTTCACACACTTTTTGTTCTGTTTTTTTTCCCTTATAATAAATAAGGAGACAAGTATGCTTTTGATAAGGAAATTCAAGATTTAACTGAAACCTTTTATTATTATAAAACCTAATCCAAATAGATTTTAAAATCATAATACCCAGTTCAATATTATCTTTTCCAGTGCTTTCTGCATGGAGGCTATATTTCAAAAGGAGATTGAATGTCAAATAATGTATTCCATAGTCAATAAGAAAAATATATAAAACCTGCCATGTTTAGGTGCTGGATACTATAACATTTTCTTTGTAAATAACAATTTTGCTTACTATTTATCTGGGCATTTCTCTGAATGGACAATTAACATACAGACATGCTCTTTTCTCTTAATAGACCTGTTTTCAACGGAGGATCAACTGTACATTTCCAGACCAGCTTTGTTTTGACCTAGTTCCATTTGGGGTGGCTGATATGGATTACTTTCATCTAGTAAGGCTTTCTACAAATTCTGAGGACTTGTACCATATACTGAGTATTTGGTTTAAGTCAGCAATCTTATGTCCAGAATATTAGACATCAAATAACATTATTTAATTTTCCTATCCAATTATCTCTGAATTTAGTTACATTTTTACAACTTGTGAAAATAAAAGTATGTCTTCTTAAAAATCTTTTAGGATTCTCTTGCAAAGCAGTATTGAGCCAGACTGGATTGGATCTTCTATGTGGAAACATCAGACAAGCACCTACCAATGTACTCTCAAAATTAATTGAATTGTTAAAAGACAATCATCATGGGAGGAGCTGTGAGTGCAGGCGAAGATAATGATGATTTGATTGATAACTTGAAAGAAGCACAATATATTCGCACTGAGCGAGTAGAACAAGCCTTCAGAGCTATTGATCGTGGCAATTACTATCTGGAAGGCTATAGAGACAATGCATATAAAGATTTGGCTTGGAAGCATGGAAATATACATTTATCAGCACCATGCATTTATTCTGAAGTCATGGAAGCATTAAAGCTTCAGCCTGGATTGTCTTTTCTTAATCTGGGTAGTGGAACCGGATATTTAAGTACAATGGTGGGATTAATATTAGGTAATATTTTAAAAATTATTAAACATTCTTTTATATAGGCTTAGTTTACTGGTATTCTCAGTTTTATAACTAGCATGTTTATGCCCCTCCCAAACTTGTAAGATATTAGCAAGTAGCTTTTCAAATTAATGTTCTTGTTACGTAATTGATCAAAACTCCTTAAGTTACCAAGAGCTTTGTGGCTTTGCAGATGTTTATAGCATAATTTTTATGGCAGTGCTGCCCACTTGTAGAAAATAAGAAACCCTTCAATTGTTTTAAAAATATAGTAATCATGACATTTAAGTTGTGACTTAAATTTGGATATTATGTCTTTATTCATTATTAAGAAAGTGAGAGAGAAAGTGGGGAAAAATAGCATAATCCAATAAATGTTCCCTGGTAAATGAAGAAGGAATTTTGAAGTACATCTTCCTGCCTTCCTTCAGTGCAAAAAAAAAAAAAAAAATCTGCTAAGCATTATTCTGGATTTTTTTCTGTTGTTTTATAAGCAGAACTATGTAGTTTGAATAAAAATTGCACCTACCAGTATCATGAATGAGGTTGCCAACATAACCACACAGACAGTGGCTTTGGTTGCAAAGCAAGGTTAAGCACAGTTTCCCTTTTGTAATAAATACATAAATTCCCACTATCTACCAAGTGGTATATAATTGTCAAACAAAGATAATGTTGCTTAGCATTCACATCAGTGTTCAGTTTTATAAAAATATACCCATTGATTCAATGAGTCTTACATGGTTGCTGGATATTAATTTACAGGCCCTTTTGGAATAAATCATGGAATAGAACTTCATCCTGATGTGGTGGAATATGCTAAGGAAAAACTGGAGAGCTTCATAAAATACAGTGATAGTTTTGATAGGTAAGTATATTGATGGCTAATTTGATGTTAAAATCTTTTTTTTTTGGTGGTGGTGGTAAAGCATTTATGAATATTTTTAAAGAAACTTGTCATACCCATTTATTGCAGCTGCAATTAAAAGCCTGCAACATGATTTTAAAATGTTCAAAATGTATGAAATTCATTGATATGGTGCTGGAGTTGTCTTATCAATAATCTTGCCCAATCTTTAAAAGTGTTATGTGTCTTGGTCTCTAATGTTACTTGGGGAAATTCTTGTATCCCTTACTCACCCCTCACCTGTTCATAGTTCTCTATGTAAATATTTCTACTTCTTAGAATTACTGGAATGCATTCTGAATATTACTGAATTTCAAATTAAGATTGGGTTGTACAACTTATTTTGAATTTCAGTCAAGGAATATTTTAAATAGTAGCACCTGTATCTCTGCTGCTTTTTCTTATGAATCCAAAAGAATTCCAGCAGGTATTTGGGGAATTTCCCATGAATCTGATAGGCAGTTCCATCACCTGCCTGTTTAGCTATCAGCAACAAGAGGCAACCTGGGCTCAATATGATTGCCCGCAAGTGGCCTTTCTGTGCTGGGAAATCCTGGATTGCCTTCTTGGTTTGTTGAGGAATTCTTGGAAATACAACCCTAGCAGTGACACTTAGAGTGCTCATGGAGGAAGATTGAAAGTAAACCTGACCAAACATGGTTACAAGCTAAAGTTTGAGTCCACACCAAGGCAATGGAAGGTGTTCTTACTTCTCCCTAATTGTATTGGTAGGCTGTCTTGGGTAGAGTAACAACTCTGTGTGACACAAAGAGTCATCAGTAGATCTTCTGCCTGGCATCTGTAACTGTTTTGTATAGCATTTTATCTACAAACTCTACAGTGTCTTGATTCTTCATGGACAGGATCCACAATGGTGACTGGGCAACATCTGCCATATTAACTGAGACTGATTAAGTGAACAGGTGCTTGCTAATGTGTCATCTGCATGTATAGATTAGATCCATGTGCTTCTAGGCTCTTTTGGATAGTTGAGGGAAATGTGGTTAGCTGTATCTAAGAGGTAGTCAATTCATTCCTTCAGAAAGGGTATTTTCTGCATCTTTGAAAGAGGCTGTAGTGCACCTCTTCTTAAAGGCCCTCTCTTGATCTAGCTGTATTGGAGAACTATCTCCAACCTTCCCTTTTTAGAAGCCACTGGTGAGAAAACCAGAGACATTCTAGGAGGCATAGCATCCTAGAATGGATTATCTGGTCTCTTCTCAGTCAGGGTTCAGTCCTGGACGTGGGATGGGAACCACATGTTAGTCCGGTCCATGACTTTTGTAAGGACTTAGATGGGGGAATGTGTACCTTCTGGTCCAATTAGACCTCTTGGCAGTCTTTGATGCCATTGACTGTTGTGTCCTGGATTGTTTATCGAGGTGGGGGGCACTGTGCTTCATCAGTGGGTGGTTCTAGCCAGTAGTTGTAGAAAAAGTCATTCCAATGGCCTCTTATATGTGGAGTGCCATAAGTTTGATCCTCTACCCACTATTTTTTAACATTTCTTTGAAGACACTGAGAGAAGTCATCTGTCAATTCATGTGGTGGTATCCTTAATAGGCTGGTGATATTTAATTATATATCATCATCCTGGGCCATATTGGCAGTGTAGGCAAAGTCTTGTCCCAGTATTTGGAAGTTACTGGGTCTGGATGGGAAGGAACAGGCTGATGTTGAACCCAGCAAGATGGAATTGCTTATTATTAATGGTCTCTTATGGCTCCACTGTTTTCTTGAAGGGGCAGAACAGCCCCTGAAGGAGTAATTCTGTGACTTGGGGTCACTGCTACTGCTGGATAGGCAAATGGAGGCCATGGCCAAGAAATTCTTTAACCAGTCCTGACTTGTGCACCAATTGCAGAGATACTTGGAACATGAGCACCTTGCAATGTCATCTCATACTCTCATCACCATCTGTTAGAGTACTGCAGTGACCTGTACACAGAACTGCTGTTAAAGACCACTCATTAACTTGCAGTATGCTAACTGGTGCTAGATGCTATGAACATATTAAACCTGTGGTGAGAGTCCTGGATTGGCTGCCAGTAGGTTTCAGGGTGCAATTTAAACTATTGATTTTAACCAATGAAGCCTTATATGGCTTAATACTGAGATACCTTCAAGATTGCTTTCTTCAACCCACATGATACAACATCTTGAGAAAAAATGTTGATAATTTCCCACTAGTGTGAATTCAGGGGAAGCAAGGCTAGGAGGAGATATTTGCCTATTATGGTCCCTGTACTATTGGACAGTGTTCCACTGGAAGTTAGATTTGCTCTGATCCTATTGACCTTCCAGAAACAGATTAAAATTGAGTTCTTCTGGAGAACTTTATACGTTTAGTTAGGATAGTGCTGCAGGGATGACTTATATATTGTTCTGGTCTTAAGCTATTGATGAGTTTATTGTTGTATTCTGTTTCTGTAATTGCACTATGTTATTGTTTCTTGTAAACTGTCAAGAATTATATGATTGCAGTAGTCTAAAATCAGTAAGTAAGTAATCTATGGGCTTTCATTACAGCTTATGTAGTATGTTGAATACATGCTATATTCAAATTTTGTGTATTATGAAGCATTTAGCACTTTAGCTACTTCACAGTTGTATTTTGACACATCTTTCAAGTATGCGTTAATTGCTAATATCTAGCTTAGCATTACATTAGTAACTGCTACTATTTTTATTTAGAACTTTTCAGACTAAATGTGCTGTTCTTCACATTAAATGGACTGTAGGGTGCATCTGCACAAACTCATATCCATTAATTTATTATGCTGAACATTAAATATAGGCAAACCATAGGATCTAAAGCACAGATCAGTATGCACTGATACTGTGTTTTTTGGTTTTAGTTTTGTTAATTGTTTCACTAGTGTGATTGAAACATCTGCTTTGAGCAAAATAGTTACATGTTTTTCTTTTCTTTATTCCTTTTCTGTCAAATTGGAATGGTAAATTAGCATTTTTAATATCCCTACTGACATCAGCAGGAATTATTCAGGGTAATTCTCTCAATTTAAGCTAATTTTGGGTCAGAAATAAACCCTAAAGTGCATTCATTTTAACCCATTGGGTCATATAAATATTCTAATATATGCTGCTTTGAAAATTAAATCTTTGAAGATGAGCTGTTACAGAAGTCTTAATGATGATAGGGAGACACTATTATTGGTTTAATTTCTTAAGCATGCAGAGTTCTCATCCTTTCATCTAGAACAAAATGTTGTTAATCTGTTGTAAATATATGTATATATAGTAAGGTAAGTGTACTATTAAAAGTTTTTACTGTATGTTCTAGCCTTAGGCTAGGTTCCCAAGCTTATATATAAACTTCATTATCTATAATAAAACCAACAAATAAAGCATGCACACACACACATACAAAAAACACTGAAGAACTTTCATGAGCAATAAGAAAAATGAGTCATTAAAACATTGGAAAAATAAAGACAATTCTTTCTGATTTTTCTGGAAATTTGTTTTATTTGCAAAACTGTTATTCTGCTTTTCTGGTTACCAGTGGTATTTGCAGTTTTAAATATGACAGAACATATAAAAACAATTGTTACAATATGTTAAGATAATTGGATCACAGAACAGCAAGCAATCAACTATAATGGGGACTGGAAAAACATAGAAAACCAAACCAAAAGGGAGCCAAATGCTTGCCAAACGTAATATACACATAGTGGAATATATTATAAGCAAAGCAAGGCAAAGCAACATAATGTCAACCTCTTTTCCCGTGTTTCCACAAATTGCATTTTAGTATTTAGGTTGACATGCACTTCACTTCAGAGAATGGGTATAGTCATAAAGGGAGGATGAGAACCTCTCAGATGTGTTGCATTAAAGATGAAGATAAAGGGGACCTTCTGAGTGTTCTTTCCTGGAGAAGGAACTGTTCCATATAACCACATTGTAAATATGTGCATGCTATCAAATATCTTGTCATTTAAGGAATACAGCTTTTTAACCTACTGAAGCTGATAGAAAGCATTTCTGAACCTAGTTATTTATTGTTTAACTTACTTATTGTTTATAATATGCATGCAGCTTATTTAAAACATCCCTATTCCAATTTATCTAACTCCCTAGCCATCACTAATTGGCTTATTTTACTATCTGATAAGTAGCTCATAATGGTTCCTAGTAATTCTTCAGAGACCATAATGGCAGCCTGAGGATGTTACTGTCCAGAAGCCCACTGCATTTTTACTAACATCAAGATTCTCTCTTCGTATAATGGGCAGAAAGAATACTCTGAGGAATAGAAGAAAGAGCTGCAACCAAGACAATGGTCAGATAAAAGAAATTTGAGTCTGGACCAGATCTATAACCCAAGTAAGCGTCTCAGACAAGAGCCTCCCTAATTCTCCTGAAAATAAAGGGAGGGAGGGAAGGGCATTCAGACGTGCAACATTCTGTTACTATAACCTTGTAATAAAAGTAGTATTACCTTGTGCGATTTTGGTTTCCTAGTCTACCTTGGAGAACTGACACTTCCCTTATTTTGAGTGGAGTGCCAGAAAGAATGACTGCTTCCTTGTCTCTGATTTTACAACCAAATCTGGACAATTACCCATCTCCACATTCTGGGATGGAAGAGTCAGATAGGCTGAGGAGTCATATAACAAAGCCAGAAAACTTTTGTGGGAGGAAGTTGAATGGACAACTGTAAATACAGTGAAGTTGGAGACAATAAAAGAAAAGATAAAGAAAAAAGTTCAGAAAAGAGTGGAATATGGAAAGAAACCTATGGAGACAAAGGAGAAGGAAGGAAGAATAAGGAAATTGAATGAAGGAGAATGTTATAAATAAGACTGGAGGCAGAGAATGTCTGAGGAGAGTGTTAAACAGATAAATTCAAATGGATTTTTGTTTTGTTTTTTTGTTTTGTTTTGTTTTGTTTGGTATGAGACTAAAGAAAGTCAACAGAGGTAGCAGAGAGAACATAGATTGAATTAGTGGGAAAGAGATCATTGGAAAACAGCAGCTTCCTGCATCTCTGCCGCTGCAAGGCAAGGAGGGATAAAGTTAAAGAAGGAGGAAAGAAGACTGCTGCTAGTCTTTAGTGGAGAAGCCATTCAGATTCCTTAGCAATGTTGCTGCCACCACTGCCAGCAGTTTATCATACTGCAGCTGCTAAATGCCAAATTTTGTTGGGAAATTTTGGAACCTGGCTTCTGTGATTATTACTAGCAGTCCTTGGCTCCCTGCAGGAACACATCCAGTAAAGGGAATTAGTGGGGGAATTACATAGAAGGTTCCCTGTCCTCAGAATTCAACACAAGAACTGAACAGTGAATTATAATTGGTTTAGAGTTCATGAAAAATCTAAGGAAATGGATTTGTTTGTTAGGAAAAGAAAGTACAGAACTGAAGAGGCTGAACTGATTGGATTGGAGCAATTGCTGGGGGAAGTTCTAGAACTGTTGTTGGTATTACAAGCCTCCTGTCATGTGAGAGATGAGGGGTAGCACTTCCAGGGGAAAAATGGCAAACTGAAGACAAGTGCTCCAGACAGTTGCTCCTCACGACAACACCGCAAGACAATGCTCTCCGGTGAGTTTAGAGCTCTGGGAGACGAGGAAATAGCCATCTTGTTCACACCGTGGTTGGCACCTTTAAAAGGACACTGGGTTCGCATACTGCCTTTTCTAATCACTTTCAGAAATTGTTTGTTAACTGCTTTTCAGCTATCAGGAACCTTTGGATTGAGCATTGGGTGAGTTTCCTTCAATCCTTAGCAAAATAAGTTTTAAATACAAGTTTAAGGACTTAAAAATATTTTTTTTCTGGAATAAACAGCAAAAGGGTGATTAATACTTCAGTTTTACAAATGGAGTAAGGGTCCAGATAAATTTGAAATAAGATTTTGGAATTAATGATAAAGAATCCTTCCTGTGAAAAAATGCTTTTGTTTTGAATTCTTTAAAGAAAATAAGACTTTAAAAATCGGGCACTAGAGAGAACTAGAAGGAACTAAAAATTACAATTGAAGGAAAAGAACACTCAAACTCAACTTACTAATACAGAATGAAGCAAAATATTTTAACATTGGACATATTGAAGGATATTTTTGGAACAATGGACCCAGAAGTTAATTGTCTGCCTCTGTAGATAGGCTGTGTTTAGAAGATGCTATGAAAGAGGAATAAGTATTACCTGACATGATTGAGACTGATTTGAAAATGGATTTAAAATGACAGGCTACAAGAATGACATGGAAAAAGATGTTATGCTGGACATACAGAAGAAGCCGGCTGATCTCTTAATAATGAAAAGGGATATATAAATAACAAACCGAGAGTGACCTGGACTTACAAAAAGGGACTTATTAAAGCTTTGAAGAATATTGTGAAAAGGAACAAAGAAAAAATGAAATCAAGTTCTAGGACATTATTTGAAGGGACTAAAAATCAAAATTGTTAGAAGTAAAAGGAAGGAATATGAAGTTGGTTTATTTGATCAAGGTTAAAATAGATAC